AGGAATAGAGGGAAGGGCACGGGGGGAGAGGCGAGAGGGAGGGCGGGGGGAGGAGGAAAAGAGGAAATAGGAGAGGGGAAATAAGGGGCCCATTGGTTCAGTATATGGACTGTTGGCTTTTGTAGTCTCGCTAATTAGTAACACGAAGTAATATATAAACCTTGTTGATAGAATAAAAATCCACGATGTATTTGGCCACTAAAGACGCGGGTTAATAAGAAGAGAAAGCAATACAGGATTAATGCACTAATTTACAATGCTTCTGAAGAAGAATTCACAGCGTGGAAGTGGAATTAGCGTCGAAAAAAATTCATCCCTAGGCAACTGCACACGCTTAATTCTCAGATATGAGCAGACGAATGTTTTGCCGGCAGATTTAGCAATTGAAGGATTTAGCCAAAAAAAAACTCACTGAAGAACTAAACCTAGAATTATATAAAGTTTCAAATTCATAAGCCACCCTTGAAATATAAATTTTTTGAGTACTTTCATCCCTCCTCAAACCCACCTCCTCTCCCAAACCCCGCTCCCCTCCATCACCATCCACAGATCCTCTATTACCATTCACGGATAAGCAGAGGCGATGTTCCCAGGCGGATAGTGTCACAGTATTTGAACTGGGCTACTGCTAGCTAATTAGGCAAAAACGATTTTTTTTAAAAAAAAATTAGATTTTTTATGAAAATTAACGTTGTATTTATGAAGTAATCACTTACAGTGCTCTTGATCAGTGTTCTACTTTTGCTTGTAGGGTCGGTAATCGCCTTTAGAAGAAAGTTTCTTTTAATACCACTTTTTTTATGGTTTATATAAATCTGGCAAATAGCCAAAAAAACAAGTAATGGCAATTTATTTTTGACAAGTATATATGCTAAGATGGAAGATTACTGCAATTTCTAGAAGAAAAGCATAGTGTGGAGTTTCTAGGAGTGATTCGATGAGATACGAGAGTCTCTCGAAAAATTTGAATTTTTATCATTGATTAGTAGATCAAAGATCATAAAAGTCGCGCGGAAAGTGATGAAAGTTATCTACTAGCTCGAGGACTACGATTATTAACTCATTTCTTTTCTTTAGTGTTCAGATTTGTGTTGCTGATGTTAAGCGATTATAATTTCTTAGAAACTTTTTTGATATTGGCTTAATTTTTATTGAATTGATGTATTTTTTTGAAAAAAAAAAAAGAGAAATAATTTTTAGATGCTGCGAAAATCGGGCACCAACAGATCTCCGCCATCGACATGTGCAGATTCGCCGTGCTCACCGTGCAGCGAATCGTATGGAGCATCCGAATTCGTGACAGAATTTGGTGGTAAGTTTTGAGCTCTATTTGGTTAGGGAAAGAATTTAGTCGAAAAAGAACTGTGAAATTTCCCTCGTTTGAAAGATTCAATGTATTTGGAAAATTATTTGCACCTGCCAACTGTAGTTAATTTATCAACAGTAAGGCTGTCGATGACTCCTAAATTTTGCTTACAAGCAAGCTGATGGCGATTTTGACTTCCTGACTCATGCGGTACCTGTGTACCATCGAAACGAATGAACGAATCGTAAAGGAATTGTTTTTTCAGTGCATTGGTGAATCCACGGGGCAGGAGGGGGAGGGGGGAGAGGGCGATGGGTCTTTCACTCCCCCCAGCGGCACAGGTAGCAGTGCTAACAGTGAAGAAAACGTTCTTCGACATCCGTCGTGGCCCCCTCCCCCCCTCCCCTCAACAAACCGCCCGG